CTTAGTATCGGAGTGGTTTTTCCTTGTGGAGTGGCAGTTAGTACAATTCGATTATTTTTCCTCCCGAATTCAAATTGATGCCAAATTTCACACTTTGAATAGATTCCATGCTTTAACCAATAGTAATAATAATAATAATAAAAGTTCAATCTCTACACGGAATTCCATGCATTTTGTATGATTCAGCATTATGTAGGCCTTGCTTCTAGTTCTAATCATATTCGGTAGCTCAAAGACGTTTTCTAAGGTAAAATCACTACACTTGCCAATCATAGCAACTCAAAAAAAGAACAAGTTCATTTATTGCATTTTTATCACGGGTTGGTCCTAAGATATTCTCCGGGCAAACTCAATTCAACTTAGTTCTATCTCTACGCTCCTCATTGTTTGGTACTGCGTCGAGGATAGTTCGCCCACTTCGATTGAGCTATTCTCTGAAATTAGATTGTTCTTCCTCATCAAGCAACTGACTCTTTTTCACAGAGGAGTGTTCATGACTGGTGCTTTAATCAACACACAGGCTTTGGATACCTTCAGGGGAACTGGTTTGCGGATTAAGTAATTTCGAGTTGAGCAAATAAGAATTAAGAGGACAATTCGCTATGATGATAGTTTTTATTACGGTAGTCTTTAAGCTACATCAACTGTCATCCAACTTTGATTGATTATTCCATGCGGGTCCTTTAATAAAGCCCTCGATTGTCGTTAATAGATATCATTAAATAATTTTCATTTCATCATTATTTATCAAACTTTATGTTATTTTAAGTATATCCCTGCAAGCTGCCATTTGTTATAATACATTTCACTAATCACTCTGTTGAGTAAAACAAGGATAGAAGTAATTACCAGTTATTGAAAATATTATAATGATTTATAAATTAAGTCATTAATGACCTAATGTTCTAAAACCAATTTGAGGTATTTGCAATCTTTAACTCTAGGGCTTTAGGACTTGATGATTAAAACCCTGTAAATAGCGTTGATTTATTTTCCATTAATTGTGCGTGGGAAACATGAAATCGACATTAAAATTACTCTCGGCTATTCATGGGACATTGGGAAGATTATACAGCCAACAAAGAACAACGCGTATGTATAATCGCATATTCACGCGATAAACATCTCAAGGGTAGAGTGGGAGTTGATTTATGCACTTGCTAGCAGACAATTTCTGGGCAATCACTTCAAGTCTTCACTAATTTTTCCTGTACTTATCTTTAGCATGTTCTAAAATTGACTAAGAAGAATTATTGCAACTCCCATTTTCTTGAGAGTACGGAATAGTTGAAACAAATAACGCTGCTCAACATTTGGATGATGGCTAACATCACGTGATCATCTATGTAATATTAGGATGCCATAGTATAAAATGGAATTATTTTAAATGCCCACAAAAATTTCCCAATAATAAACCATAAAATTGTGTATTTTTATTCGCTTCGCACTCTTATCTGACCATGTTTTGGAACAATAGTCGTGTACTTACGTGTCCATTTCATTGATATATTTAAAAAGTGCAAGACTTCTACATTAAAGTACTGAATAATACTACTAAAAGTGCTAAAAATGTTGTATGACCTTGAGGCCTTCTTCTGATTGGATGCAATTTAAGTCGGCGGATCAGTTGCTGCACGGCTGCTGAATTCGTCTCAGTTCTGCAGCCGAAAATAAAATGAAACGAACAGATAACAGCGTGCTTACATTCCCTCTCCTGTTGATGACGTGCGTATAGAGAGGGTAGTCATGAACTTTTAATTGTCTCTCTCGATCTCACAAGTGTTTTGGTGTTTGGTGTACCGTTTGGTACATTCTTTCGCGAATGTGCACTCATTTGTACGATTACCAAATTTGCACCCACGCAAAGATGTGTATGTGCTCTGTTTATTATCATTAAAAGTTCGGATTTACACTTCCACACCTTTATTGAATCAATAGTCCTTACATGTTTTATTTCGATTAAATTCAAAATGTTAGCATTAATTTCGAATGTGTCCTGTGAAATAAAAAAAATACTTTTGTTAGTCCCATTTTTCCATACAAAGACGCCTTTCCAAAGACTCAGTTTAATTCATCAATCAGTTACTTACGTCCTGGTCAATATCTATATGAGGTGCATCAATAAGTCCTTCCACAGTACTCACCTCTCCTTTTTTCTGCCTTTGTGTCTGTCTGTCTCTTTTACATCTGGGGATCACTCTTCTGTTCCCCACCCCTCGACTTTCTGTTACTTTCATGTTCCTTCTCCCTGTGAAGCCAGAAGTCAACTAAAGAGCTAATAATAACTACCAAAACGCCTGTCATTTGAAATAAATAAATATAACCAGCCCTAACTACCAAATTAATTCCTTATTGAACTAGACATAAACGTTTTGCTTTGTAAGTTTACTCGCTGATAAAGCTCGTGAGTATCTTCCAATTTCGAAAGGCAGTTAGTAAAATTTTGTTACTTGTATTAAATGCACAAAATAGTACTTGATAGTTTGTTATAGGCTTTATCTAAAACTCGATTACCATCCAACTTCCCAGGAGACATAATACCGATAAAGGTGGGGTTGGGATAGCCTCTCAAGTCAGAGAATGCAAAATCGAGTATTAACGGCGTAAATGGATGATAGCTGAAGATGAAATTCTCAAGAAGCGAGGTGACTATATGCCTACCCTCAAGTATTGCAATTATCATTCTGTTAAACGTGAAAGAATATGGTTATCTAACCTTATTCAAGAAGTCATATTATAAAGTCGATCAGTATAAAAATTAAGTGAAATCAATAATTATTTATTTATTTATTTATACCAAATGACAGGCATTTTGATAGTCATCATTAGCCCTTTAGTTGACTTCAGGCTTCACAGAGAAGAAGGCACATCAATTCGAAAAAAAGTCGAGGTGGGGGGGGGGGCAGAAGAGTGTTTCAAAGATGTTAAAGAGACAGACAGACACAAAGGTAGAGGAAAGATGAGATGAGTGCTGTGAAAGTTGTGGAATATGACATACAGTGGGGTGATGGTAGTTTGAAGTCAGAAGTCAACTGCCGATTAATGGACCTTTTTGCCGTATGAGTAAACGTTGCCCGGGGTGCACCACGTGGAGGTAAGTCTATCGCACACCCCAAATTAATAATTATAACAGAACCTCGGGAAATTAAGCTCAGCTACGACTTCGGTAGTGGGACCATCATCCACCTTTCAAGTTTATACAAATTTTTCATCTCTTCCTCTTTTGCCTCAAACATTTAAGCAAAACTGATTTGTAAGATGTGTAATAATAGTAATAATATCAGCGCTTTTGATCTTTAATCGCCTTGAGTACTAATCTTCTAAAACAAAGGTCATCAATTGTCACAAAGATCCTGTGGTAAAAGATGTAATTTAATTTCAATTCGAAGTTATGAGGTATTTACGCTTTTTAAGTAATGAACCTTCATATATTTACTTCGCTTACTTCAGTAAGCTTCAATTTTGAGAAGAACACGAGAAGTTTATTATTCCATCAAATTGACCAAGTTTTGAAGATAATGAATCTATCGAAAGGCCCAGATCTACAACCACAGTCACCTCATCAACTTTCCACTAGTTAGCATTTTTTCGTCGAATTCCCTTTATCAAAGTTGCTTCGTTTGGAAAGCACAAAATCCACCATCTTGAATTCACACTCAATCTCGACACATATTTAAGTCATAACAATTAAGGAGTATTTTGTTGTAGATTTAAAAGTTGTTTTACAGAAGCCAATTTCGTCCTTACGCACATAAGTAAATTCATAACAAGTGTGATAAAATAAAGCACCTAAACAAAAAGCCCATTTCTCTCCACCCATTCCTCTAGGTCTGGAATGACAAGTAAAATTGGTGTACTATTATCAAGTAGCGCGCAATATTTTTGCGCGAAATCAATTCATCTTTTTTTTAGAACTAACACAGTCACTTTTTCGACTTGTACAAATGGCGCTAGTGTGTGCTTAATTAATGCACTGAATTACACTCAAGCAAAAGATATCAACTCACTCAATTTACCTACCGCACGATAAATCAATTATGATATACCTAGGATTGATGGGTGGATCTTTACGCTGATTGAAGGAAATTAGAGGGAATATTATACTCATTCGTATGAAAAAGCAATTAAGTGGACACCTATTTTTATATAAATTTCAATTACATTTGGCATGCTTTAATATAATTAAAAAAACAACATTGGAGGGTTATTTAGATGGTAGTTAAATCTCGTGATACATTTCAAATGTTTACAGGTAGGAGGTCAATCAGCCTTTACCGTGATCACGTGAAAAGTACTATTAGTAATCTCTTCACATATGGACCTTTTAGATTAAATAACATTTAAGGGTCAAATGTCGCTGTCTTATGTAGTAAAAAGTACAGTTGCTGAAAACAAGTCAATAGGATAATCACGTGCTCATTTATATCCAAATTTATGTTGGAATACGCCGAAAGCTAATATGACTCATACCAACTATAAATAAGCACGCGAATGCGCAATAAATTTCTTAAAACAGACTAATAAAGTTACGAGTTTACTTTCTCATATGCATGTTAGATGAAAATGTCGTGGTCGATTAAAATAACAATAAGTGGGTAGAGACGAGGCAATGTATGGAAAAGAACAGACTATAGCATGCTCGGTGCCCTGTTAATGTACCAATCAGTGATTAACGACCTTGGAATGTCATCAAAAGGTATACATACGCACCACATACCGCAAATAGACCAATAGAACTTATTTATTACGCAATACTCGTCAAGGTTGTATTGTGGCCTTCATATCGGCGTGCACGTATGTCTAATGGTGGCGACCACACACGCACAAAAAGTGCGGTCGTATGGGTGGCTCCTGACATAGGATTGGTGCGTACCCAAATAGTCGCGCACTCAGGTTTACAAACGCGCGCCGTCTTCGCCATTCATTCATTCACTCAGTCAGCTAGTTTGCTATTCATTCGCTCATTCATTCAGTAGTAGTTGGAGACGCGCCCAAGCCGCATGTGTACAGTGCCGGAAGATTTAGCAGCTGTTGTTTCTTCGTCTCCGGCTATATCTTCTCATTCCTCTGTATCTTCTCCCAATATTTCTCTTCCTAGATCAAAATTTTCCCCCTTAAATCGTCGGAAAAGACGTCGAGAATTTGAGCGTCAATCGACATCAACCACGGCGGCGGCGGTGACCACAAAGTCCACGCCGAGTTCAACGGCGTCTCAGCCAGCAATGCGAGAGACAGAGACTAGTAATTCAGCCCCGTTAATAGACGCAGATTCAACTCCTATAACAACATCAAATAATTCTACTCTTTCTTCAAGTTCTACTATTGCATCAAACGCAGATAGCACACTTTTGAGGAAATTATTAGGAGGGGCTGATCTGGCCTCAGTTCGTAATCACAGCGTTCTGGTGGATACCAATTTCTCCCTTCGTCGAACATCTTCTATGTCAACAACCTCCTCACGCTATAGAGCATCGCTAAATACCTCCGATCCTAACTCTGACGATAAACGTCGACGAAGGTCGACAATGTACAGTCAACGAACTCAAATAACTCGAAAAGATTCAGATCACGAAGAGGAAATTGACCATCGGCCTTGTAAACGGCCGAAGGAATCTCTCGGACCTGAAATTACCGCAAAAAGTGGAAATAGTTCTCCCCTTCTTCCTATAAAAGTTGAGTCACGTGACCCTGAAGATCATCCTTCCTATTCTACCTCCTCCTCTAATCCATCCGGTAATCCATCAAACATTAGCGACGTTATCGAAAAATCGATGTCAAAGTTTCCTGGTAAACCCTCTACACGCTGGAGACTGAAAAGTCCTTCACACCAATCGCCTCATAGTTTAAGTCCTCCTGCCGGAGCAAGCACAAATCGTCAAGATCTTACTGAGCCATCTCCAATGCGTCCTAGAGCTAGAACAACATCAGAATTGGATATAATCCGGATGTTCGCTGGGGCTAAATGTCCCATAGAGCGAATCGGTTTGGATAATTTTGATTCTCTTAAAGTTGGAAAGCTAGGGACTCTTACTTCCCACAAAAGTGATTTATTCAGACGTGGGGATGCCGGTGACAAACCCTCCGATATAACCTCTCCCTTGAGTCAGCTCCTTGAGTCAACACCACCGTATAGTGGAAGCGGAACTGGTACAATTCATCCCAGAGCTAACACCACAACTTCTGTTTTCCATTGGCCTTTGGATAACAACATGAAAGGTTCTAACTCCTCGATGACCCGCCTAGGAAACCCTTTCTCTGCAAATGGATCTAAACACTATTCAGCTTCAGTTCATCGTCAACAACCGCCACTCCAACAGCATCATCAACAATCTTCGTCTTCTTCCGCAGATCATCACCTTGATATGCTAAATCTGACGAAACCTAATCAGTCTACTGTTTCCACAGATACCGTAGCTTCTATTCTTGCCGCATCTTCACGATTTCTGCAGGGAATACGTGAAGAACAAGTGTTGAATTTCAGTCAAAAAGACGTGGTGTCCGTATCACGTCAATTACCCCCTGTACATCCCCCTAATCCTCCTCTACCAATTTCTTCTCTCACTACGGATGATATTCTTCATTGGTCGCCAGGTCATCTTGCTGCCTTGCAGCAACTTTTTCGTCTCTCTGATTCCTCGAATCCCACCCCTGGTGTCAATCAATCAATGCCACCCAGGCCCGCTGTCACCGTGTCAGATAGTCAAGCCGACAAACTTCCTATTCGCCTCGCTTCTAGCAATCGGTTAACTCTTTGTCGACGGGTAGCTGAGTGGATGTTAGTTGCAAATACCTGGACTATGCAGATGTGTCCAACGCCCATAATGCCCGAAAACTCTTTACTAGCCACAGCAGCTACCTATCGGTATTGTCGTTGCTCGGAAGCTGAACTTACCATGTCTCATCCAATTGATATGCGTCTAGAGATGCCACGACTTGGTCCCGGATTGCAAGCTGTTTTACGTCGTATTTGGCCACAATTACTTCTTGCCTCCATGATAAGAGAAAACTTCTCTTTCACCACTGCACCTATTCCAGCTGCAGAATTATCCAGTCTCCTTGGAAACTCTTCTTCTCGGGAAGGAGGTGGATCGGATCTAAATATTGCTAAGGCAGGGACTGCTAATGCCCTGAAGAATTTAATTACCGATGGGAACCAGCTTCTCTTGGATACACAAATCTTTGAGTGCGTCAGAAAATGCATCTTCGCTCAACGTGAGTCAAAGTTTTAAATCTTGTGGCTTTAGTTCTACTCTAGTTAAATGGGAGAGGTTTTGGGGGTAATCTAGCAGTCCGTTAATACCCGCCAGACACAACACCTTTAATTCACAATTTCAAATCTTAAGGGTTAGGTGGTAAGGATTTTATCTCTGCATTTCTTTTTATAATGGTTTCATCACTCCGTTTGCTAGTTGTTTGCTAGAACTCGTGCATTGGCTTGATCAATAATGTGTGCTTTTCTGTGATACGCGAGTTTCCGTGTTTTAGCCATAGGCTCTATCTACCTAACTCGCTGTATGTTTTTGTAAGTGCTTTCGTGTGCCAGTAGATGCAGACTAGGGTTCTCGTGCTTTTAATACTAAAGTCCTTTTTTTTCAAAAATGGTTAAGCTGCTCTTACTTATCAAATGTTAGCTAGATTTGATCTTAGAATTTGGATCGTATCGAGCCCCCTTTTATGTACATTCATGATCTTTAATTTAGTGCCTCGAAGGATTGTGACATTTGATGTGAATAGTCTTTAATTGCTCCAAATTAAGTGGTTTACCGTGAAATAGAGATCTAAACATATTTGGTTTATCAATAACGGAATTTTTATCGGTGTTTAATAATTGTATTTATAGATGCCTATCCAGACTACTATCCTGTGTCTTATGCTAGCGCTATAGAAGAGTTGAAACAGTGCTGTCATCGTTGTTCAGGTGACTTGACTCTTTTTCACAGTGTGGTTCTGCTAATGAACGAGATGCAATCGATAAATCCTGAGAATTTACATTGCTTATTTTCAATCGATCGCCTCTCTGGCCTATTTGTTCCAGCTTCGGATTCCACATCGTCATCTTAAAAAGAAGGAATTCTCACCTCATTTTGAAGTCTCCCGGTTATTTCTAATCCTCCTTATCTCCCTCTATGTGCTCTTGTCTCTTGCCACAACAACAACAACAAACATTGCATTTGCGCCGATGACCTTTTGATCTGATACCCGCTCCCTTCGACCTCTCTTGTCTGTCTGTCCTTACGACCCTGTGTGTCTATCCTACCTTTGTAAAAGCGCCACGACTAATTGCCATAACTCTTCACTCTTTCATTTGACTACGCATCCATAATCTGTATCCTCTCTCTCTCTCCCCCTCTATGTTCAAAATCCTACCCCCCCCCCCCCCCCCCCCCCCTATGTATAATATCTATATTTAATTGACTCCAAATTCTCCACATGCATATATAAAATATTTTAACCGATACTGTGGAGGTTTACTCCATTAATTTTGGGCGGAAACTCCGGAAGCACCCAGTTTGAAGACAGACGCGTATTCTCGGTGCTGGTTTTTTTGCCATTACTTCAGGTTGTGGAGGCGTTGTGATTGGCACTCAGTCAGTCACGCGAGAGTAAATGCTGTGAACTCTTGTAATGGGAAAATTTTCCATTGTTTTTTTTGTTGGTGAGCTTTGTTTCACCAATGTCGAAGTTGCACATCATTTGTAGTAAGTGGTCCCACTGTCTCGTTAATGAGGAGGAATTCATACCAGTGAGCACTTAATGTATCAAAAGTGAACTGTTTGGTTCTTCTATTGAAAAGCAGGTTAATCTAACTGGTTTCGACTGCTATTTTAGCATTGATTTTTATTGTTATGAATCGGACAGTGAAGTGAATGGCATTTAGAGTCGTTGGAGTCTTGGGGAAGTTTCTATCTCCGGCGTACAATTGTGCTAGTTGTGTTGGTGGTTTATGTTTTCAATCATGGGATAATAGGTGACAGATTTGAGGTTGTTAGGTACATATCTGTGATATAAATACGGTGAAGGGTGGGGAGATTTGGTTTGTGCTTTAACCACGGCATCTTATTTAACTTTATACAACCAGAAACTGGACACTAGGTGCTCTATTTATCATTGCCACTAAGATCAATGACCTTGACAATGATTAGAAAAGCTGCACTTTTTGTGTAAACACTTGACACTTCATTACTTTCCCTTGAATTCTCTTAAAGTGGTTCTTTGTACTTTTAGTCAGAGCAATCAGCATGTTTGCTCATTAGCTATGGGGACTAATCAATTTAAAGGCATTTTGAGGGATCCTATTTAGAGTTCAGTTCGATGGTAATTACGATTTTCCTAAATTACTGTGTGAACCCATTTCCTTTTTATAGTTCATAAATCAGTTCTGTTACTTTGGAATGCCAATTGATATTCTTCCATCAAGGCTCATCGCATCCTTGCCGGTCATTATGAAGCACTGCAAAACATTATTTCTAGCACGTTTTCTCTGGTAGGACATTTTACAATTCATCTCCTCCAAAAATGAGGTCGAGATTACCTAAGAACAGAAATGGCGCTGATTTTCTGCCAAATTTTTACTCAATCACTCTTGACTTATTGATCCCAGCCTGGTCGTCAAACTTTCCTCGCATTTATTTGTTTAAAGGAAGATTCATGAAGAAGTTTTACCTGTGTGCTAGCTTCGTTATTGAATCTGGGGCATTGAATATATTGCAAGAATCCCCGAAAATGTCTCCCCTGGCATTACCTTAAGAAAAGTTTAATGTCTATTGTAATCAAACGCCTTTTTTTAATGATGTGTAAAAATTTAAGTAGAAGAATCAATCCCCCCCCACACCCACTTTACGCTATACTTGTCAGACAAGCGGATTGATCACCTCAAACTTAATGTCTCTAACGGGGGGGGGGGTTAGAAAATTTTGCCCCTGGGGCCTGAACAACAATGCATTTTAATGATCTATATTGAATTCCCTTGAGGTATAGTTTCATTCTTTCGGAGGGGATGGGGGAGGAATAGATTCGGTTGGGTTCTTTTAGTCACGATAAACTGGCCAATAATTTGAGTAGGCATTCCTTTATGTTTTCTCAGGTATCCAGTGTGTAAAATGAATTATTCTACAAAAGAATTGGAGTGAATTTTAAACCTCAGCCGAAAGATGGAGTCTTTTCCTTGAAACCCTACTCTTTGAGAGAATTTTCTTAGGATTGGACTTCTTTCATTTCTTAGAGAAGTTTTAAGCCTCCTTGCACTCGTAACAACACTTTTCCCCATCATTTTGCGCTAGAACTGCCTGAGTTTGTTTCTACCCCTATATCAATTGGAGAACAATTAATGCTTTTCTTGCTCTATGGAGGATTTGACTAATGTTCATCATTGCTCTTATCAGCGAAATAATTCCGTGTCGAATCCTTCTAATGACATTATAAGGCATCTGATTTGTGACACCTTCGCGATTTCTTTGTGCCCTTTTTGCAGGTTGAAATCCATCAGAGTACCGCACTTACAAGCCTTTTGGGGAGGGGGGGGGGGGGTTAGTCTAGACATGGCCGTACAAAAATTCGTCGTATTGCGAGGTAGGCGAGGCATAGCACAAAACAAGTCTAGTTAAATGACACGCAAACCTCGTGTACGCGAGGATTACCTCGATTTTGGACAACCCCTTTAGGTACGCGTGTTCTGCCGTTGTATTCAACTCTCGATACTTCCATAGTGAGTGTCAGATAACGAACTCCATCTGAGACATCGCGTGTAAATTAGCCCAATTGCTGCTGTTGTTAACCCTTGATATTGTTAAAAATAACTTACCTCCGCATAGGTTAACAAAGTTTTGTTCAATCCTAGCAACTCCGTTTGTACAAATACTTTTAAATATTTATTTGTTCAACCTTGAAGTCATACGAAGTTTGATGAGAAGCTTTGGTGGAACAATGAAAGGTGGATTGGAGCTACCACTGAATCTTCAATTTAAGATGGTTGAATTTATCCCATCGATTGGTGAAGTAAGTGGAAATTGCAAAATACCAAAGAATACAAATCTTTATTCATGCAGACTGTTACCGTTGCCTTTGAAGTCGAATCTCCCCTTGAGTATATGGAAATTTAAATGAAAGAGACACTATTTCTAACTAGGGCGCAAGGTCTATTCTATAGTAAAATGCTATCGATGAAGGAGAGAATTAATTGGACAAACCTAGGAGAGGTTCCATATATTTCGTCTTGGGGTGTGCGATAGACTTACCTCCACGTGGTACACCCTGGGCAACGTATACTCATGCGGCAAAAAGTCTATTTACTGGCAGTTGACTTCTGACTTCAAACTACCCCCACCCCATTGTATGTCATATTCGACTACTTCCACAGTACTCACCTCACCTTTTTCCACTTTTGTGTCTGTCTCTTTTACATCTTTGAAATTCTCTTCTGTTCCCCCTCTCCCTCTCGACTTTTTTCACTTTGATATCCCTCCTCCTCTGTGAAGCCTGAAGTCAACTAAAGGGCTAATGATAACTTTCACAACGCCTGCCATTTGATATAAATAAATAAATATATTTCATCTTTTGCTCTTTCTCTCCTTAAACATAGGTAAATGGTTTTAAATATATCAATATATTTAAAATGCCTTATGCAACACTAAGACAATATGAATTAACACCTGTTTTGATATCGATTTTTAGCAAAGTCTTGCCTTCAGAGCTGTTCCCGTCTAAGTTGAGTCCTGTATATCATGGCAGTTGCCATAGGCTTTTGTGAAGTAAGACAAAAAACGTCCTCTAACCTTGGTCCTATATTTTAAAATTCAGCAATGGCTTCAATTTTACTCCGTCAACATCACTTAATCCATTTTGGAAAGTCCATATAATTTGCAAATTTGAAGGTCAAATTAGTCAATTGTATTTACTCCCACATATTTTAAATATCAGACCGGAATAAACCTGGCATTTGTTTAAATAATTTTATCGTATTAGCTGTTGGAAAACGTAGCATTAATAAAAGCATGAGGAAATGTGTCTCAACTTTATCTGCCAATTTTAGAATTCATCGAGCACATGATTAATAAGTTGATTGTCTGAGAAGGAAGACTGGGAGTTGAATAGCTCCTCTTTTCATTTCATTGTTCTCACGAAGTGAAAGGAATGAAAGACTGCCTTTATTATCACGTGGTTGTGAGACAGCTTCCTATTTTGAAGGTCTATTTATTTATTTACTTATCAATTTTTCAGTATTGTAAATGGGAACACGAAAATAATATAAAATTATACACGTATAGCTTTTTAAGATTCCTAATTACACAAAGGCATTTAACTGTAGATCTTTTTCTTAAAGTCTTTGATACTCAATTATAGAGCTTGTGACCTTGAGTTTCATGATGAAAACCTTTAAATACTTATGCATTCATCTGTATGTTTATCCTCGAGGAAGAGCGTTCTAACTTCAAAATATGCCCATCTCTTGGCAAGCTTTTGAGTTCTTTACAGGCCGCCTATATGTAATAGTCGTATCAAAGAGGTTTACTTCCAAACCAAAACATGGAGTTTTTCAGAAGAGTCTCATCCATAGTTAAAACTTTAAAAACATTTTTTGGCACTTTGGGTGCTGCACGACATGGAATTCAGCTCAATACTCAATTGTGTACATGTGCTAAAGCGGTTGTTGAAGTGTTGTCGAAAAATTCCGACAAATCACCAAACCTGATGTCCAGACACGGCTTTTCAGAATTCAAATAGTTAGATTGACTGTCTATCACTGTCCTTCTATTAAGTTGTGGAGGTTACTCCAATTAACGACTAACGCTATTTAGTGTTGGTGGTGTAAAATTTCAGCTCTCTTAATGATTTTCATATTCCATTTGCAAACGAAATAGACACTACCACTCAAAGTCTGCATTAAACCAAACTTTGACCAAATTCGTCGTCGAATATTAAGCTTTCATAACATTGATTGTGAAGAAATAAATAACAAATATCATAAACAGTTATCGATACGGAAATATTTCTTTCTGGAATGGATATAAATATATATTAATGATTCAAGACAATTACTATCCTTTTATTTCTCTTTATAAGAA